CGGAGGGTGAGAGGGGATTTTTTATATATATATATATATAAATTTCCACACTGTGAGGAAATGTTCTTTGTTTAACTGAATGTTTAAATAGAAATTGTTTCATTAAGTGAATTAATCATAGTCTGTATTTTTGTTTAATTTGGACTTATTGTTTTTAATTTTCCATATTGAAATGCTGACAAACTATATTGGTTTGTGTGTTGTACTGTAATTGTTATGGTAAAATTCTACTAGTAATTTACCATAAAGTTGATTTTTACAATAAAATGTCAATGTTTCATACAGATCTGCCTTGTTTTTCACTTTTGTAGACTAATGTTTATGTTGTATGTGTTGTTTTTATAGTAAGCTGCCATAAAAAGTTTACAGTTCTGAACTGTTGAAGTGATATTATACCAAAATATTATACCATAATGCCTCAGACAGTACGGCCATATTTACCACAGTAAAACCACATCTGTCAGTATTTTAGGAAATACGGTAAAATATCGGCAGCTGTGGTTGCCAGAATTTTACCATATTTTATTGGCAGCCACAGTTGCCAGTATTAGCTCAAGTATGGTAAAATGCAAACATGATATTCTAAACTACTTTGTTTTGCTTGCAGCAGAATTTATGCGCTGTCAAAATGATTGTTTTGGCAAGATTAACTTAAGATTCCTCACAGTCAGTGTTGTCTTTTGTCTGCAGCTTGTTGAAACTGTATGAATGACTAAGCTCCAATGTACATATGTAGGTGTTCGTTGTGACTGCATGAGAGAATAAGGGCAGGATCAGGATCTACAGAGGGAATACCAACTGTCAGGACATGGATCTTAGAGGACATGGATCGCCTTTCCACAAGGTGTTTCTACATTTCTTGCTGCTCACTAAGTTCCTTCTGCCTTCTGGCACATTGAGTAAGTATTAAACATTATATATAACTTTATATTTTTCAAGTTAGTCTGTTATCACAATCAGCTTTTAGATTTTGAATTCTGGAATTGCACCGCTCAAGGTGGCAGCCTGTTGGAGTACCTCTGTGCTTTCATTGAGATTTTTCAAACTTTCATTCCTGTCTTTTTTTTAAGAAAATAGCTTTTTTGGACAACTGTTCCTTCTTATTTGAATACTGTGTAGTTGGACATATTTTGGGCAATATTTTTCATATGTTTGCTATTTTGTTATGGTGCTTAGCCATAGCAACAGGTTGGTTTATAACAGGGGCAGCTGATTAATATCGAAAAAGTTGAAGTAACACCACAGCTGAAGCCAGAAATCCTGGCCTTTTCAAATCCTGAGGAGTTGAAAAGGAGGCATCGTGGATGCAGAGCAGGAGCTCTTTTCAGCTCTCTCCTCTTCTAAAGAGGAGAGAGAGTTGGAGGAAATTCAAACCATCTCTACCATCCGTCATAATGGGCTTTGTGAGATCATTAGCTAACAAGATGGATGAACTTCAAGCCCTGACAAGGACTCAGTAATGCCTCACATTACTGAGCTATGTCTCAGTAATATGCTTTACTTTACTGAGACATAGCTTCAGGATTGTATCCCAAACTCCATCCCCTCTCTGCCAGACTTCCTAACTACATGAGCAGACAGAGATATAAAGAGCAGTAGGAAAAGAACCCAGCTTCCAAACATTTCTTATATACATATAAGCTTCTTCCACTTCTCAGGTGGTACTTTCTCCCACACTTCTTTTACAATATGCTCAAGCTCTTGTACATTTGCAGGGTTCCTTTCTCCAATGGCAGATTTCAGCTCCACCCAAAGATTTTCAACTGGATTGAGATCAGGACTCATAGCTGGCCATTTTAAAACAGTCAATTTTTCCCTTTCAACCATGCCTACGTGCTTTTTGAGGTGTGCTTTGGGTCGTTATCTTGCTGGAGGACCCAGGATCTTCACCTCAAACCAAGTTTCCTTACATTGGGCAAGACATTTCGCTCTAGAATTGCATGATGATCTTCTGATTTCATGATGCCTGTGATACGGTCAAGGCCTCCAGTACCAGATGCCGCAAAGCAGCCCCACAGTATTATGGATCCTTCACCATGCTTGACTGTTGGCATAGTGTTTTTTTCTTTAAAGGCTTCATTGCGCTGCCCGTAAACATACTGTTTGTGTGAATTACCAAAAAGCTCCACTTTAGTTTCATCTGTCCATCAAATATTGTCCCAGAAGGCTTGAGGTTTGTCCAGGTTCTCTTTTGTGAAGGTCAAGCGTTCTTTTTTATGTCTTTTCTTCAGCAATGGGGTCTTCGTTGGCCTCCGCCCATAAAGCCCCACTTTTAGTGTGCGGCGTGTGGCACTTGTTAAACAATCACACCAGACTGCTCCAGGTTGGTCTTTAGATGTTTGACGTGGTGTTTTTTCCACCATTCGCACCAACTGTTGAAGACTTCTGTCATCAGTTTTTCTCTATCCCAAACATCCAGGGAGGTTCTTGACAGTCCCATACCTGGAAAACTGCTTAATAACTTTATACACCATTGAAACATTAAAAAATATATTTTTAAATCATAAATTCTAATGCATTCTAGTGTCATTGTTTTTGAACACTGAATTGTGTCTTTTAGTTTCTTAATTGATAGCAACTTCTATCTTTTTGTGTTTGAAGAGATGCGAGTATGAAAAAAACTTTTTCAGAGATCAAGTTGCTTTTCTTTCAAAATATTTTTAGCATGTCTGTGCGATCCCTGACATAGATAGATGCATCTATCTATGTCAGGGATCTAAATACAAATCTCTTTATCCACTTCTATCTCCTGATACACATTTCTTGTTCTCATTGTTACAATGTTTGTCTTTCATGTAGGTATACCCAACTTCATCAAGTCCCCAGATGATCAGACAGGGATCTATGGAGGTGTTGCTTCATTCATTTGTCAGGCTACAGGTGACCCTAAACCTCTTATTACCTGGATGAAAAAAGGGAAGAAAGTCAACTCTCCGCGCTTCGAGGTATGACATGCTTGGTTAACCTTAGGCCTAACTGAGCCTGACTAAACATTTTTGATAAGGATAAAAAAAATACAAGATGCTTTGGTCTAAAAAAGGCATTTTTTCACATATACTTCATAGCCATTTCAATAGGTTCACCTTACTAATACCAAGTTAGATCCAATTTTGTAATAAAGACTGGTTTAATTCTTAGTGGCATAGATTCCACAAAGTGTTAGAACATTCCTCAGTCCACTTCAAAATGATGGCATCACACAATTGTTGGTTGCACATTCATGATGGAAATGTCCCATTCTATCATATCTGAAAAATGCACTCTGTCGTGGTGGATTTAAGATGCTTAACCCGCATGCAGATCACCACACCGGAGAGTATGAGTATAGTAAATGAGTTTTATTGCAAATAGACAAAAAAATTAACAGGTTACAGATCTGGTCCTTGGAATGGGTTCACAGGCATCACAAGGGGAACTGAGGGAACTCGAGCCAGGTCTGGTTTCACAGGTAACACCTGAGGAGAAGAGAGGCCACAAAGAAGGATTACTCAAAGATTGCTGGGAAGCTATGCACAGAAAACTCAGTGATTTCTCAGAGGTACCATCAGGTGCTAACACACAGGCGCCGAAGTACTGGCAGTCTACTTCTCTTAAGCTCCAGGCAACGAGGTGATTGAACACCGTGTGAAGATGACGTCATGGAAGGCGTCCTCCAACAAACTGCCTCAAGGGCTCCATCTGGTGGTAAAGAAAAACCCCAACCAGCAGCCACAAAGAAAACCACCCCGGATTCTAACACTATGGTATTGATGATCTCGGAGGCCAGTAGGATCTGGATCTTTGATCTTTGTACCTGTCATTCAAATGTTTTTTAATTGAGAATCAAAAATCAGAAGACAACTCACCAGATCTTTGCACCTTGGGTTGCGAAAAACTTGTGGATCTCTGGATTAATGGATTATAAAACCAGGGTTTTGTATACATTTCCTATCAGTGTTAAAAATCTTTAGTAGGTTGATTGAAATAAAGTAAGTCAAAAATCTCACAGTGATCCGTTTTTGCTCTGGTCAGGTCAAAGAGTTTGATGACAAGTCAGGCTCAGTACTGCGTATTCAGCCGTTGAGAACCAATCGTGATGAGGCCATCTATGAATGCACAGCCACCAACAGTGCTGGAGAGATCTCTGCACCTGCCAAGCTTATTGTCTTAGAGGGTAAGATCTGTTGCTGGCTATTCTTTCATATGAGTAATACCATATATATATATACAGAGAGAGAGAGAGAGAGAGAGAGAGTTTGTCATTCAATTGTAAATTTAAAAATCTAAGAAAATTTTGTTGCAAAGCTCCAATGATAATAAATAAGTAATTATAAAAGTATTCATGTAAATATATCCTTATGACATGAGGGATGAAGCTATTGTGGAATCTGGTTGTTCTGCATTTGAAGTTGCTGAATCTTTTCCCAGAGGGCAGCAGAGAGAACAAACCATGTTGAGGTGTCACCAGGAAAAGAAACCACTCTCGTTTTCTTGGCATTGTAAACATGGCTGATCCCATTTACTGCTTCATCTCCAACAATAAGCACTCTTGGCATATCTTTCGTTTTCCTGGTGGTCACTTTGTCCTTCGGAGACAAAGTGTGGGGTGGATGTGATGGTTTTGCCTCATTGTTGATGTTTGAAGGTGGGTTTTCACTCAGAGGCTCAGACTGGAGTGCAGAAAATCTGTTTTTCAGTGGGATTCCCACGGAGTCAGAATGTTTTGAGGCTTGGGCTGGTTGCTTTGTCCATGGGAGCGGGGTCGGTGGAGCCGTTTTGGTTCCAGCTGCTTGTTTATTTTTCTTTGGTGGAGCAGGTGTTGAAGTTGAAGGTGGGTTTCGGCTCAGAGCCGGCCACATTGATTCATACGACCTCTCCGTTGATTTGAGGAAGAGTTGTTTCATTTCCACGGGTAGCATTTATCTCAAAGTTCACCTCCAGCCATTGAATCTTCATTTCTATAGACTGAAGTCGTTGTATAATACTGCTAATGTCCCTGGCGTCGGACGGAGGCATTTTGCCCTGGTTCAACTTAGAGGTTAAGAAAAGTAAGATAAAAATAAAAGTAGGAAAGTTCCACAGTCCTTAGGTTTGAAGTAATCCAGTTATGATGTGGATAATGAAATATAACTATAAAAACTGTGACTTTAAAAATAACTCACAGGCAAAGTTATCAGTAAGGAGAGAGAGAGCAGGATAAGCTGTTCCTCCTTCAGCTGTCAAAAAGGAAATTCTCCTACTCCAACATCTTAGGGCAGGAGAATTTCCTTTTTGACAGCTCCGACAGCTGTCATCAGCAAGTGATTTTCAATCACTTGATGCATGCTGCTGAATAGTTGCTTACTATTCGTCTCCTCTCTGGGTCAATGTAAAACTATTAGAGATGACAACCTACAGTGTGAGACGAAACATTGGTGGCAAACTTCAACATATTTTTTGATAATGTTTTTGTACCTGCTACATCGAGCAAAAAGAAGAAAGGAGTTTGAAAAGTCAGTGCTAATGTTAGCATATTCACAGCTAGCCAAGATAACTGAAGACATGAACCAGATTAAGTTGGGCTCCCACTGCGCATCTGCTGTTACACTTTTTTGAGTCTATTTGACCCATAAAAGGCGTCAAATTTGGACCAAAGAAAGCAGCTGCCTTGCTTTTTTTTTTTTTTTTTTGGCCAAAGACTAATACTAGGACAATATTGACCATGTTGTGACTGTTGGTTGTGAGACAGATAATCTGTGAAAAAAATCAATCTCCTGCACCTCTTCCCTGAACTACAATATTCTGGCCAAAAACAACCAATCAAAACCAGGAGGAGGGTCTTAATGTTGTTAATAAACCTCATTCACTGCTGTGCTAATGGTGGAGAAACAACTTATCGTTTCAGGAAAACTGTTTATCTCCCATCATAGGCAGCTATGCTAATTAGACTGAACATTCACATTTCAGAACATTTGTGCTATGCTGTAGCTAGCATAGCACAAATGCTATGCTAGCTATGCATAGTTAGCATATGCTAGCTAGTTATGCTAGCTACAGCATAGCACAGAGCAAGGAGGAGGAAGGATGAGCAGCCACATGAGATTATGATTAACTAAAACCCACCTCCTACTTCTGATTGATTGTTTCTAGCACTGGGAGAAAGCAGAGGAAATAAATTTTTCATAGATTATCTCTCATGCCATACTTTCGCCACATAATGACAGTTTTAGCAAATATGTAACCAAATATGTTAAAAAAAAGATATTTTTTATAAAAATGACGTACTGCCGCTTTAATTTCACATAGGAGACGACGGGTCAGGAAGGATGTGGCAACAGATATCTATAATTTAAATGCAAGTAAAGGTAAAACTGTGTGGACTTGCTCCAGTCCAGACAGGAGACTGTTTTTATTATCATTTTATAAAGATTGTTTGAATTTCTGTCAGTGATAAATATATTGTTTTTGTTGTCTAATTGTAAAAAGAGCAAAGACAGAGAAATCCCTATAGACTCAATGGAATGATGCTAACTAGCAGGGCCGTGCAGAGACCACTAAAGGGGCAGGTGCTCAAAAAAAAAAAAAGGGCACAT